TTTTAGGGTGAAATGTTCTATAGATATCTGTTAAGTCCATTTGGTTCATAACTTCTGTTAGTTTCACTGTATCTCTGTTTAGTTTCTGTTTCCATGATTTATCCATTGCTCAGAGTGGGGTGTTGAAGTTTCCCACTATTATTGTGTGCAATGTGTGCTTTGAGCTTTAGTAAGGTTTCTTTTATGAAAGTGGATGCTCTTGCATTTGGCGCATAGATATTGAGAATTGGGAGTTCCTATTGGTTGACTTTTTTTGACAAGTTTGAAATGTCCTACCTTATTGTTTTTGATAGCTTTAAGTTGAATGTCAACTTTATTCGCTATTAGAATGGCTACTCCAGCTTGTTTCTTAGGGCCGTTTGCTTGAAAAATTGTTTTCCAAACTTTTACTCTAAGGTAGTGTCTGTCTTTGTAGCTGAGGTGGGTTTCCTGTATGCAGCAAAAAGCTGAGTCCTGTTTGCATATCCAGTCTGTTAGCCTATGCCTTTTTATTGGGGAATTGAGTCCATTGATATTAAGAGATATTAAGGAGAGGGTATTGTTGCTTCCTGTCATTTTTGGTAATAGTGGAGGCATTGTTTGTGTGGTTATCTTCTTTTGGGTTTGTTGGAAGGGGATTATTTTCTTGCTCTTTCTAGGGTATAATTGCCCTCCTTGTATTGAAGCTTTCCTGCTATGATCCTTTGTAGTATCGTGTTTGTAGAAAGATATTGTATAAATTTGTTTTTGTCATGGAATATCTTGGTTTCTCCATCTATGGTAATTGAGAGTTTTGCTGGGTATAGTAGCCTGGGCGGGCATTTATGTTCTCTTAGGGTCTGTATGACATCTATCCAGGATCTTCTGGCTTTTATAGTATCTGGTGAGAAGTCAGGTGTAATTCTGATAGGTCTGCCTTTATATGTTACTTGGCCTTTTCCCCTTACTGCTTTTAAAACTCTTTCTTTGTTTTGTGCATTTTGTGTTTTGATTATTATGTGATGGGAGGTATTTCTTTTCTGATCTAGTCTGTTTGGTGTTCTGTAGGCTTCTTGTATGGTTATCGGAATCTCATTCCTTAGGTTAGGGAAGTTTTCTTCTATAATTTTGTTGAAGATATTTATTTGCCCTTTAAGTTGGGAATCTTCACTCTCTTCTATACCTATTATCCTTAGGTTTGGTCTTCTCATTGTGTCCTGGATTTCCTGGATGTTTTGTGTTAAGAACTTTGTGCATTTTCTGTCTTTTTTGACAGTTGTGTCAATATTTTCTATGGTATCTTCTACACCTGAGATTCTTTCTTCTATCTCTTGTATTTTGTTGGTAATGCGTGTGTCTATGACTTCTGATTTTTTTCATAGGTTTTCTATCTCCAGGGTAGTCTCCCTTTGTGATTTCTTTATTGTTTCTCTTTCCATTTTTATGTCCTGGATGGTTTTGTTCAATTCCTTCACCTGCTTGGTTGTGTTCTCTTTTAATTCTTTAAGGGATTTTTTGTTTCCTCTTTAAGGGCTTCTACCTGTTTACCTGTGTTCTCCTCAAATTCTTTGAGAGTGTTATTTATGTCCTTCTTAAAGTCCTCTATCATCATCATTAGAAGTGATTTTAGATCTGTCTCTTGCTTTCCTGGTTATATAGGGTGTTCAGGACTTTCTGACTGGGAGAAGTAGGTTCTGATGATGCCAAGTACCTTGGGTTGCTGATGCTTTTGTTCTTGAGCTTGCCTTTTGCCACCTGATCTCCTTTGTGCTATCTGTGCAGTCTCTGACTGGGGCCTGTCTTTCCTATTATCTAGGTTGTGTCAGAACTGTTTGGAATGGGTTTTACTGCTGGGGTTAGAGCTGAGGCCTAAGATCTGCTCAGTGCTTAGGTGGAGACTGGAAGGAACCAGCGCTCTGGGCCAGGAGTGAATTCCTGAGTCCCAGTGGGTCCTGGTTACTCCCTGTTTGGGGCAAAGGTTGCTGCCTCCTTGCCCCACACAGGGATACTGCTAAGATACTGCTTGGTTTAGAGCTCCTGGGAGCCCTACTTTCTCTGGGTTCTGTGAGATTGGGTGCAGAGCTGACTCCCGGGATATGGTGAGCACTAGGGCCCAGACTGGATGGAACCCATGCTCTGGGCCAGCAGTGAATTCCTGGGTCCCAATGAGTCCTAGTTACTACCTGTTTGGGGCGGGTGTTGCTGTTTTCTTACCTGAGATACTGCTTGAGTTGAAGCTCCTGGGAGGCCCTCTTCATCTGGGTTTTGTGAGGTTGGTACAGAGCTGTCGCCTGTGATCTGCTCTATGCTCAGGCCCAGACCAGAAGCTTAGCTATGCTTTCTCAACAATCAATATTTAGTTCTCTTTTATGCCTGTTGGTTAATTGTTTTATGGCCTCGTGAAATGAGTCCCTAAGTTGTAGATGCCTAGTTTCTGTCTCAGATGTAATTAACTTGTAATATGTGAAGTTTGGCAGAATTCTCATTACAGTTTTCATGTCAGGGGGCTTTAATAGCAGTTCTATTATAAAGGACTTAATAATTACCAGTATAATTTTTAGAATTCTTATGGGATCATCATTAAGAATTAAGAAATCATTTGTCTATATAGCATCACTACAAGACAGTACATCTTCATTGGTCTGCAGAAATCTGTCCAAAAGGGTGGGCTAATACCTAGTGATTATTGTATATAGTTACTAATAACAGGAAAGGCATATTAGTAGCAAGACTCTTTCCTAAAACACTGTCCCTTGACTTGAAGGGCTCATTCATTGTGACTCACAGTACATGGTGAACCATCTCAGGAAGATCGCCTGCTAACTTTTAGCCTCTCCTAGTTGGCTCCTGGCAAGTCTTAGTACTGGAGGACTTGAATTGGAAAAACAACAAACGAACAAACAAACAAAGTCAGTACTAGGCCTCACTCCTCGAATTCTAGGTTGGGGTGGGGGATTAGATATCATAGATACTTTTTTATGGCATACTGGATATTTTGTGCATGGCTCAAACTCAAAATATTTTTCCTCAGGCTGAAAACCATTGCTCTAAGAATTAAGTTTTGATCAGTATCAGATTACACAATATACCAGAACTTTCCACCAGCAGTTCCAGATTTTCTGATCTCTTACTATTCCTGATTTATGGACTCCAGAATTGTAACTTTTGTTCTAATACTACCTCCCCAACCCCCACCTCATCACAACGGGGCACACACTCTGTACCCTGTATCAATGAGGCAGAGCAGAGTAGGCTCCCCTCAGTGTTTCTCAGGCCCTCCAGTTGTACCCTAGACACAGAAATCAGCTCTATCTCTTCTAAGGGAAGAGTGACACAGCCCTCTGAAAGCTTTGGGGTGTTTGAAGCTGAAATAATTTCTGATTTTAGACAATCCCTGCTATGTTGCAAGAATGTGTATTATGCCTGGTTATCCTCAGCTGATAACCGAGGAAGTTAAATAATGTTTTCCAGGTCAAATGTACAAGGGTGGAGTTGGACCTTGTTTATGAATAGTATTCTCGAGAGGGCCATAGCAGATTCCTTTGAAGGATTTGGTAGTGTTCATGTCTGTGCTTCCTAGAATAATTGAAGCAGAATCTCTGAGAATTTTTGTATCTATCTATCTATCTATCTATCTATCTATCTATCTATCTATCATCTATCTATCTATTATATATCTATGTTAAGTATGACCTTTTAATTGAGAATTTTATACATGAATATATATTTACATCATTTCCTTCATCTTCTACTTTAATTCCTTCTCTATGTCTGTCCCATTGCCTCTAAAATTCAACACTACTTCTTTAATTGTTATTGTTACTTATATTAATACATATGTATATATAAACTCAACTTTCTGAGTCCATTTCATATCACTCATTTGTGTATGTGTTTAGGTCTAACAACTTGTGCAGGGGTCTCTGTGACCTTCATGAGCAGCAGAGTGATGAGCTAAGGGAGACAAGAAGATAGTTTGTCACAACATGACTCAGTAGCCAGTGTTAGTTAGAAATTTGGGAATATAAGACCAAGTTGTTGAGATTTGGTCTGTTGCTATGTATTGTAATGCTGATTTCAGGCCCTTGGGGATGAGAAAATCCACACACAAAATGATGCTACATGATCTTGCTCCTTGATTTAAAACTATTGGTTGAATAAAGATGCTGACAGCCTATAGCTTGGCAGGAGAGACGTAGGTGGGGGGTTTCAACTCTCAGGCTTGGGGTCTGAGGCAGGAGACCATGGGGAGAGAAGAAGGTGGGGAGAGGAGAAGACATCATGTGATAAGTGAGCCATGAAAACATGAGCATGAGGGCTGGCCAATTGGAGTTAAGAGCAGTCCAGATGGAACATGGCCAGTTATAACTCAGGGTTATTGATGGGGAAGTAGATTTTAATAGCTTAGAGGGTAAATATCTGCCCAGCTCTAGTGCATTAAAGGCTTATTATAAATATAAAGGTATGTGTCTTTTATGTGGAAACTGAATGGTTAAGGTGGGGTAGAAAACCCTAATTAAGATTAAATATTTACTACAATACCAAGTAGCTTCGTTTAGACATATTTAAACACAGCAAATCTGGTGAAAACTATTCTTGTGATGATTGACTCAATCCTACATACCTAAATCTCTTTGCATTTGGAAGTTAAACACAGATCAGATGTGGTTAATGGACTGCATAGTGTCTTTTAAAGAAATCTTTGTGAGTTTTATATTAAAACTGACAAAATTTTGACTAATACTTGTAAGATCTGGGGAAGTCATTTAACTCCTGCAAACTCATTCCTCAATTATAAAATGGGATACTGATCCCTTTGCTGTGAAAGTTGGGCTAGAGATGGCATTTAAAACATCCCCAACAATGTGCATGATCAAGTGTCAAAGTGAATTTTAACTTTCGCTTGGCATAGCTGATACTATAATATGATCTACTATGTGCTAATAACCATCAGGAACTACTCTGTTGTTTGAGAATAAGAAATAATTTGGTAATGTTCCACAAATGAAATGTCTATCATCTGTATATTCTTATCTTTGTAGATCATGGGGGACGCCACAGGTCATTACCTTGCTGGATCGTTTGTATTTATCCTAGGTCTTTGGTGGAGTATAAGGACTATTTTGAAGTATATTTGTAAACAGCAAAAAAGGTCTTCCTCCCTTATTACTCCCAATTTTTTCTCTCGAGCAGAAATTGTGGAGGCAATTACGATTATTGTCATGGCATTAGCAGGTGAGCTGACTTATTTTGTTGTGTTTTCTCAATTTTGTTGTTTTCATATGCATAAAAAAGATTTAGTTACAAACTCAAGGAACTCCAATGATGACTGTCTTATTCAAAAATATTCATTAAATATTTGAATTACAATTTCCATGTAATATAATTTGGTAGAAAGATGGCATTTTATGTTTATTCAAAGGCCTATTGTTTTAGTTAAATTAATGTTTTTTTTACTTATTCACTCTATATGCCACTCACTGTCCCCTGCCCAGTTAGACTCTCTCAAAATTCCCCCCACATCCTCCCTCCCCTTCTCCTCTGAGCAGGTGATACCCCCATGGGTATTACCCTGCCCTGGCACTTCAAGTCTCTGCAAGGCTATGTGTTTCCTTTCCCACTGAAGCTGAACTAGTTTGCACAACTTTTGGGATACAGGCAGTAGCTCTTGGGATAGCCCCCATTCCAGTTGTTCAGAACCTACATGAAGACCAAGCTGCACATCTATTACGTATGTGCAGGGAGTCTTAGGTCCAGCCTATGTATGTTCTTTAGTTGGTGGTTCAGACTCTGAGAGCCCCTAGGGTCCAGGTTAGTTGACTCCATTTTCCTTTAGAGCTCCTATCCCCTTTGGGGCCCACAATCCATCCTCTTATTCTTCCATAAGAGTTCCCAAGCTCCATCCTCTGTTTGGCTGTGGGTATCTGCATCTGTCTGAGTCAGCTGCTGGGTGGAGCCTCTCAGAGGACAACATGTTCCTGTCTGCAAGCATAACAGAGTATCATTAATAGTGTTAGGGATTGGTGCTTGCTCATGGGATGGGTCTCAAGTTGGATTGGTTTTGGTTGGCCATTTCCTCAGTCTCGGTTCCATCCTCCATGCCTGCATTTCTAGTAGACAGAATAAATTTTGGGTTGAAAGTTTTGTGGGTGAGTTGGTGTCTCTATCAATTCATTGGGGTTTCTGCCTGTATACGGGAGGTGGCCTCTTCAAGTTCCATAGCCCCAATGTAGTGAGTCACAGCTAAGGTCATTCCTATTGATTCTTGAGCACCTCCATTATCCCAGATCTCTGTCTAGTCCTGGAGATGCCCACCATCTCCTGACCCCTGTTAGTTGCAGATTTCCATTCATTTTCATGACCTTCTAGCCATCTCTCCTGTCCTTCCCCACACCTGATCCTGAACCCACCATTCCCCTTCTTATTCCCCCTCCCTCCCAGATACTTCTCTCCATCTTCCTCTTATGACTATTTTATTCCCCCTTCTAAGTGAGATTCAAGTGTCCTGGATTGGAAGGCCTATTTCTTAATTAATTAATTGTAGTATTTAATGTATCCAATTTAATCATGGTGAATTTTCTTTGTGATATTTTTTTGATCCTCTGAAATAATATATCAGTTTTTTTCTGGTCCCTGAAAGAATATACCTACTAGAAACTATTTTGCCAGTGATGGAAAAATAATCAAGTGATTGTTCAAAAGCATCAATAAATCATTGTTGAGAGGTTATGGAGTGTGGTCAAAGCCAAGGAAGGCCTTGTTTTATGATCGCACCCTCTTTTTTTTTTTTTTTCTAATTTTTTGAATTAGAGACAATAGTTGGGCCATATAATTTATGTGGTCTTTTCATTGTTTTTGGGAATTCCAGAAAGATGGTTTGTTTTCAGTTTCACTGTATCCTGTCTGTTGTAAAAGAGAAAAAATTCTATTTTTCTGTTACATATTTTAATGATATGATTCATAGTTTCCAAAAAGAATAAAGTATCTGCAAACTTATATATGTTAGTAAACAAGCCATCTCTGAGAAAGTTCAAGTGCTTGTATAACTGATTATACTACATGCTATATTGACTGGGGCTTCTTGATTATCCTCATATGGTGGAAGCTAAATCTTAATTTTGGTTTTGAACTCAGGAACCAAGACTGATCTTTTACTTAGTAGCTATCCAAAGGTCTAGTATCTAAGAAATGAACAGTCACCTTCTAGAAGACAGTATCATAAACCTTGGACATTAGACTGGAATAGACACTTAAACCAAAGTAATGAGCATTGGTTTAGACTAAAATTTGTTATCTTAGTGAGCATTTGAACCTCTGAGAAAGTCTAAGGTGTCACTACACAGCTGTTAGGGAACCACCAAGAAACAATGTAGTGTTTTAAGAGGACACAGCAGATTGAACTAAGCAATGGTCATATCTTCCTGCCTGTGCTTGCCAGGTAAAAATCATCTAGAATGTTGCTAAACTGTGGCATAATTTTTCTACAGGAATAATTGCTCTATTTTCTGTGCAAGGAAAAACAAAGATGTTACCACATAAAGAAATGCAGATGGCCAAAAACCTTCATTGGCAACATTTTATTATGTATGTATTCTTTGCAATGATTGGTGTGACCAAGATCTCATGTTTCACCATTAGTTCATTGCCAGTCTCTTTGGTCAAGTTAATGACATCAAATGCTTTCTTTGTGGAAGGTAAGTATGTGGGAGGAGGTTTGTTTGTCCCCCCTTTCTTTCTGTATTTGTCTCTAATAGTAAGCACATGAGTAATAATAACTCCCAAATAATGAAATATCTTTGTTTTCTTAGTGCAATATTGATGGATAGGGCAAAGTATTCCAGCCTTATTAAGATATTTGGGTATGCTCTGTAGGATGCCGATGGCTTTTCTTCTCTACTAACTCATCCTGCAATATTGGGCAGATACAACCATTTAACATTATTTACTAGTGTTTCACATCTGCCCTGAAGAATCACTAATATCTTTGTTTTCTTAGCAATTCTCTTTAAAAAATATTTTTAACAATGAAAGAAAATGAAACCCAGAGTAATGAAAGCATGAATCCTCAAATGGTGTAGCCAGCTGTTAACATATTCTGCCACCTACCAGCTAGCTTTTATATCACCAATACAGTAAAACTTTGCTAGTATGTATAGAGTCTAAAAATTTCAATCATTTTAGAATTGGAAGTCCTAATTTTGAGAGATTTGTGTAAAAGAATGTTTTGTTCAGTTGTTTTCTAAAATTACTGTGGCGGGTGAGGAAGAAGTCTTCAATGAAGATGTGAGAATGTAGATTGATTATGAATCCCTGAAAGCTACAAATGGCCAGGAGGCAGCTGCTCCTTTCCTTCTAGCTGAAGAGAATAGTTCTTGCCTGTTGCTTTTTGAGTACAAGGGCCAGAAAAAATAAATTGCAAAGGCTAATAGCTTGGTTCTCATATCTTTAATGAACATCCTCTTCTTCTAGCTTAATAAAAATCATTAAGCTGAAACTGGTCTATGTTTATGTAATGAAATATCACAGATGCTACTTGCTGCTAATATTGTCACACTTCTCAAGATGTGATCTATGGGCATGTTTACTTTTTTCCAGGGGACTGTATTTAAGGCAAGGCTCTGGCTTCAGCTTATTCATCTGCATATTCACTGAATTGTAACTCACTGCTCCGTCATATTTATTATTTGTCAGTCTGCATAATAATGCTTTCAAAATAAGTTAGTTGAAAATTTCATGTTAGAGGAGAAAAGAAAGTTTGGAGAGGGAAATGGAGGGTTGAATTTCAATAATTCCATTCTAAATAGTCAGCAGTAACTGAAAAAAAGAATGCCAAGATGCATTACTGTGAGACCTATCAACTGGATAGGTGTGTAAAATTCTGTGGCTAGGGAGGAAAGGAAGGCATGAGAAAGAAGTGGTGAGTTGGTTCTCTTTTGCTTTTATTTTAAAAAAAAAAGCAAACTCAATTTTTCCCCTACCCTTTCAGCTTTCGTCTTCTACAACCACTCTCGTGGCTCGATATTGGTGGACATCTTTGTGCACCAACTGGTGAACTTCAGCGCGTTTTTGACTGGTCTGGCTGCCTTTGTAGAATTCCTCCTCACCAAGAACAATGTAGTTCTGGAGCTCCTGAAGTCAAGTTTAACCATGCTACAGGGGTTTTGTTTCTTTCAGGTGAGTTGAGGCCTTTGGATTTATCTTGTTTCTACCTATGGCTTCTCTCCTTATTGGCTGAGGTATTTTCCTATAGGCTCTAGAGACTTTCCTATGACACAGGACTGCCTATAGTGAAACTGTTGGTCTTTAGGTAGTTATGTCTTTAAGAGAGATAACCTTATATTCCTTGCGGGAACACTGATTGAACAACTGAGCAGGAAGTAGGATGTGCCTGTTATCACACATCTGACTATCCACTACGTAGAAACCCTGAGTTGATGATATTAGTCATCATCAATTCTTGATTATAAGACAGCATATTGCCTAATTAGTAGTAAGCTCCAGAGATATATGGAAGGCAAGAAAGTGAAGAGCCAGTTATTTAATGAGAAACAAGTATTTGTTTGCCATTGTATTGAAAAAAATTTTTTGAGAGAGTATCTCTTTAGGTATTTCAGGTTGACCTTGAACTCAGAATCCTAGAATCCAAGGCCTCAGCATCCTTAGTGCTGGGATTATAGGTGTATGCCATGTCTATCTTTTATTGGATTCTTATGAACATCCCATTTTCCCAATTTATGATAATGTAGCAGTTAGGTATTATCATTTCCAATAAGTTAGTAGGAAGATCAAGAAGATTAAGCTAATTTGCAAGGCTCATACAATAATGAACCTAGGTACTTCTCTGCTAATTATTTTCCATATAAACTTAACAGGCAGGCATCCGTGTTAATAGAGACAATGTCATCACATACAGGATATTATAGGAACTCAAACAGAAATCCTGGATGAGTAGAGACCAAGAGGTGGCTATACTTGACACATGGTAGAAACAATGAATATGTACCCTGACCCAAACCAGCATCTTTGCCCCATCCATTTGCCATTCCATTGATGTATGTGGGACCTGGAAAACTGTTAATTGCTGAAGATGAAAGCAGTGTTATGCATCTTTCTGTGATGAATGAAATATATACCATACTGAAACTTTGGGCACCAGACTGGGGAGAAAGCCCAGTAGTCTCTTATCTCTACCTCAGGTCACTTACTGCCTCTAGGGTAGTTTTTCAACCTTCTTAATGCTGTGACTTCTTAAAGCTGTTCCTTACATTGTGATGACCTCCAGCCATAACATTATTATTTTTTTGCTACTTAATACCTGTAATTTTATCACTGTTATGAATTGTAATATAAATGTCTGATACGTAGATGGTATAAGGGTCAGTTGACTACCAAAGAGTAGTGACCAACAAGTTGAGAACCAATGCTCTAGGGTTTACATTGTGGTTCACAAAGCTACTAAAAACCAACCAACCAACCAACCAACCAACCAACCAACCAACCAACCAACCAACCACACAAGCAGCCTGAAGTAGGATCTAAGTCTAGATTTATTTTATCCTAAGCCTTATTCTCTTTCTATTTGATGATGTCAAATCTAAGTCTAGATTTATTTTATCCTAAGCCTTATTCTCTTTCTATTTGATGATGTCAAATCT